TAACGGACTGCAAATTTAATTTACATAAAGTGACTGACTAAGTACTTTTATATAATACTAAATTGACATAATCACAATACAAATAAAATATTCAATACTGTTTTAATAGAAAATAGATGATATTAAAAGTTAGCAAATCAATTTGGTAGAAAATATAAAAATACAAAAGTTTAACTATAACTACCTTTTCTTTTGATCTTAATTTCTCTCGTTGAAGAATTAGATCATACTGAAACAAGAAGTGATAGTCCACTTAATGGATTGTGGAGGCCTTGTCAAACTCATTACTTATGACCAAATTTAGGTGCAATATAAGAGTCCAATAAACTATGATAGCTTGCTTCGAAGAAAAAAAAAAAATCAATGATAACATTAACCAATCAAATTTTCCTGCAACATTATTCGACAAAATCATTTCATCAATATACCATTCTGTTGTCAGTTAAGAAATTAGCACATGACAATGAGCACGAGCATAGAGGGTGATTGCGTTATGAACTCCCTTAAAAAATCACCACCCAGAAGAAAGTTACAGTGAAGAAAAAATAAATCTGTAGCTGCAACTTACCAAATCAACTCCAAAGATAAAATTTGCAAATCAAATCTTCAACTTAGATAAATCACTTGCAGTTCTGAAATGATTATTATGAAGCAAACTTATCGCCAAAAGAAAAGAGTATGAGAATTTTTTCTTTTTCTTTTTGTTGCATAAAAACATCAAGAAAAAAATTATCATTTCCTCGATCATCCTTGTTGACCATTTCTCATACTGAGCCTGAAATCAGACCTTTCTGTATAAGTAATGCAAAAGAGCAACATGCCCCAGAATCCAATCTCAGTGCTTGGAGTCTTCTTCTTCACAGAACTTGGTGTATTGATCAGAGTCCATCAACTTATTCAATTCCTCCGAGTTGCTCACCTCAACCTTTATGACCCACCCATTGTCATAAGGGCTTGAGTTGACCTAATATACCACAAGCAAAGAAACATAACCATAAACCAAAAGCTTTTCAGTTATCTGATTATCATACAAATGAATCCTGCGTGAGGGAAAACATGATCGTGGTAGTGTCTACACATTCAAGTCCAACCAGTTTTCTTCAATGAAGAGAGAACAGGAAACTAAAGAGGCTAGTAAATTTTTTTTAAACAATGAATTTCAACAAAATCACTAGTATCTGGGATCAAGAGAGACTTAATATCACAAGTTTCTTTTATTTAATTCTATTAAACCAATTCATACCCAACTGGCATTTTATAGTGAAGAGGGGCTACATATGCGCTACAGTTCCAAGCAGATAGGAAATGAAAAGAAACCAGCTATGATCTAGAGGATAGAAATATGACAAGAGGAGGAGCAGATAGATAAGTAACAACCAACCCAACTTGAATACAGTATGACAGTAAATTCCGTAAGGACTTTGATAAACAATAAACTCAAGTAAAAAGCTTGCTAGTATTTCAACCAGAAGGTGCATGACATAAAGATGTTTAAGATTTGTATGGTTAAATCTCTAATCTACTGGCAGAGATCAATGATAAGAGATAATGACTGGGTGTTTGGAAGACAACTGCAACTCGTGCTGTGAGTTTTAAAAGTGTTTTTTAAATAGTTGTTAAGTAAAAACACTTTTAATGGAAAACTTTTTTATGTTTGGTAAAAATAACTATAAAAAGTATTGTCATTTTAAAACAGCTGAAACTGTATATTTGATGAAAATGATTGTTGATACTGAAATTACCAAAAAATCCATAAGAGAATAAGAGAAAAACATAAGTTCCATGATTGGTTAAAAGAGCTGTAGAAACTGAAATAATTTAAAAATTAATTAAAAATTTAATTCAAATTATTAATTTATAGATTAATATTAATAAATATGATATAATTTAAATTATTAATTATACACATTATTCATTTTAAAAATTTATACAATTAAATATAATATTGTACAAAAATAATAACATCTATTTGTATAACATTTTTATTACTATAAAAAACTAAGAAAAATATACTAATTATATTTTAAAAACTTACCAGCATTGATTATAACAATACAACATCCACACCCAAATCTAATGCCTTATTTATTCACCTTCATCAACTTTTGCACTCAGCTTTTCGCTGTGATCTTTTATCGTGTTGTATTTTCTGCAAAAACAATTTTTGTTCGAATTGTTGTTTAAAATCTCCTCTTTATTTTTTGTATTTTTTAGAAATTGATGAAAGTTCAATAAAAATTTTAAAAAATTGAATGAATAAGGTATCACATGAAGGTTCTTTGCTTGAACAACAGAAGAATCAAGAAGAATTTCAATTTAACTTTACAATTACATTGCACATTTTTCAAAATTTATACTAACATATATGAATGATAACTCATTGCCCATAATTCACTTAAGTATTTGCTCAAACAGATCACTCAATTCACTATAAACCCTAAAATTCCGTAATAACCTAAAGTACTTTCTAATTAAGATCAAGTTCTTGGATCATCAAGAGATGGCATTGAGTAGCGAAAGAGAGGACACAAGTGACTGTCTCGAGCCAACTCACGATACAATCCCCATGAAGAATATGACTGCAAGGCAAATGCACAACCTCCATTCCAATTACCAACTCCTCTAGGCAAATTATGCATTGCTCTACGCATAACTATTCTATTCTCACTCTTTCCAGCCCCTCAACTGCCACCTTAAAATTTTCGTAGAAACAAATTTAGTTTTTATTACATCCTCACAGGTCATTATCATCATCGGTGACGACTTTGATGTCTAAGACCAACCCTAGCAGCTCAATTTTGGCATTGGCAGGATCTTTGATTGCACTGCGAGCAAAAGATATTACGAGACACACTAATTAAGCAGCTACGTCAACTCATACTCCCATGTAGGTGGTGAGGATGTCATGCAAGAACTCAGGGCCAAATTTATGGGATAACAGCAACTTGTAAGGGAAGATCAATGATTTACAGAGGTTGCTGGTGGTGCGTAGACTGCAAATCACGGAGGCTAGTAGTTGGAGGTGGCTATTCACATGCGGGGAGGCAGAGAAGGTGGGCAGGTAGTTTGAGAAAGTATGGCAAAAGAAGGATTTGTGGATATACATGGGGTATGTATGTAAGTATACATTTTGAATGAGGGTAATTTCAAGATTTTAAATATAAATTTTAGCAAAAGCTAAACCAATTTTCTAAAAGCTACATATTATAGTTATTGGTTTTAAACCTATCAAAGCAGATTTTGGATTTGCTTGTTATTAAAAACCTTAACATTTTACCCGTTTAATTGCGAAGCTGCCTTTGAAACGTAAAAATCGCAGCCAAAAGCAGCCAAACAAGCCCTCAGTTTAGGACTAACTGAAAAATGATCAAGGCAGATTTTTGTCTCGATGAATCTTTGTACAGAAATTTAAACAAAAGAATCAGATGCAGGTTACTGTGAAAAGAAAAAGTAATCATGTAACTAAGTGGGTGCACTTCATCTGTAAGACTAAAACTTTTCCATCCTTTACCAAGTTCAGAACAGTGATTTTGGAAATAGATCTAATAAGCAAAAACTTCAACGACAATTTTTACAGTAAAAATGAGCAATTTCAAAATGTAGATGGTAGTAACATGTGAAATGGGGCAACAAACACTTTACTTTCAAAAAAAAAAAAAATGGGGCAACAAACAAATTAACTCACCAGACCAGGAGAGCCGTTCAGTTCTTCATTAACTTCAACCACCTTTCCAGAAATTGGAGAATTCACATCACTAGTAGCCTTGACACTCTCTACGGCACCAAAACTGCCACCTTGTTTGACAGCAGTTCCCACTTCTGGTAATTCAACATACACAACATCGCCTAAATGATCTTGTGCATGATCAGTGATACCAATAGTAGCAGCATTACCATCAACCTTCACCCACTCATGAGTGTCAGCATACTTCAGATCCTTCAGAACTGTAAGTAAATTGAAAAAAAATAAATAAACACATGAAAATTGGATATTATTGTAAAAAAATAGTCTCTCCTTGAAATAAATATATAATTAACTTCCTTCACACAGCAATATAAAATTCCATCTCACGCCTTTCTTCTATTTTGATCGGATTAAAAAAATAATTTATGAATTTACAAATAATTAATAAATATAAAAAGGATTTTACTTTTTTCTATTCATTTATTTGATTTGTTTATGTTGAAATATATGTCATAATGATACCTCATGTTATATTTGCATGTTAATACAGCCTATAGTAATTGATCAGTCACAAATTCCCATTAAATATGCAGTATCTTTTTAAAATAGAGTATAGACTGTGCAAGGTAAAACGGATATAGGATCAGACAACATCACTACCACCAATAATCATTGTTTAGTTTTTGCAGGTAAGAAATTTTACCAGTTCTAAAGTACAGGAGATAAGCAAGTAAATATCTTCCTAAAGGTTTTCAGAAACAGGATAGAAGGCAGGAAAAACAAAAACTACTTTCCCTAGTATTCTACCTGAAAGGAAATAGAAGTAATTTACTAGTTTGAGAAAAATATACAGTCCGTACATAAGTGTCTGGTGAAAATGACTACCAAGATAGCAGAAATTGAATCAAGAATCTCCAACAACATCAGTAATACAAACCAGATAGAAAGGGAGAGACAACGTTTATTAAAAAGAAAAAGAAAAAAGAAGAGAACACAACAAAAGTAACAAAACAAAATATCCCAAGTCCTAATCCACCAAAAAACTGGCAGAAGGGAAAGAGAGTAAACACAACCAAACAAAGATTAAATCAAACAAATGACAAAATTAAATAGAACTCAGGAACAAAAACATGAGGAGTTTGCCCAAAAGAATCATAGATCAGGCATAGTTGCGAAAATCCACATCAACACTGACATCGAAATATGTATATAAGAGAAGAACAGATTAAAAAAAGCAATAAAGTATACCAACGATCAGAAGTGCGACAGATTTACCTGAAGTAAACCCTCTTTGGAACACAGAGATTCTGAGGTATGAAGCAGCCCTTGACGACCACAGCGATCTTGAAGCCATTTTTGCTTTTGTTGATTTTTGGTGAGGAAAACGGCTGCTGCAACAATATCAGCAGTAGTCTGTAACTGCCTGGATGTGCGCGATCGAAGTTACAATGTTCGACCAGAAAAGAAAAAGGAGATGGCGGAGGAGGCTGCTTCAGTGATGGGTATACGAAATTCTCAGTGCAAGTTTGGTGGGTTGTTGGTGAAAGCCCTTTTCCCTTTCATTTATTTTTTAATATTTAAAAATTATAAACGAAAATAATACTGAAAAAAAAGGTGAAATTATTTTCTATAAATAAAAAATTAATTTAAACATTTTTACTAATAATTTATTAAAATTTTAAATTTAACATTACTTTTTATTATTTGTCTTATAATAGATGTACAGGTAATGACTCTCAATTCATGAGTATTTATTTCGGATTTTCAATTTAGATGTAAAGAGATCAAAAAATTATGTCAATTTTCGGTTTATATTAAACCATAAAAAATTCATATTATTTATTTTTAATAAACATTTTAATTTTTTAATTAAATATATTTTAAAAATATAATAATAATTTAATCCATTATGCGAAACGAAATAAAACGATCTGTAGGACTTTTTTTTTAATTTAACTTTTGCTTTGGTCCAGATCAATTCAATTCAAGACCGACTGACATCTTTCCCCAGCACATAGAATATAATTAGTAATTATCTATTGACAGATTAGTTTATAAATAATTATATAATAGCTAGAAATATAATATATATTTCATGTGCTGAGTAAAAATGTCAATGGGTCTTGAGTTCAACACCAACCATATAGAAAGTAAAATTTTTAAATATAAAGACATGTCTCCCTCTAGAAATTTAAAAGTAAATAACATTAAAAATCTTCATTATCAAATAAAACAAAATAAAATATTGAACTATAATCGAAAATAACGTGGAATTGAGATGTATGGTGGTGGGTCACGTGCCAACAAATTAGAAATACAGAACCCAGCAAGAAAGTTGGTGAGAGTCTGGGCTGGGCCACGTCACGTGATGATTTTGGTTTGATAAATACAATTATTTATATACAAGATAGAAGACCATGGTCTTACTCTAAGAAAACAAAACAAGAATAATTTGTCATTTTCTCTTTCTTTTTTTAGTTTTCTTTTTCTTTTCTCCATAATATATTGTTTTGGCAGAATATTTTTCATTAAAAATTAACAGGAAATTGCAACTGACCAATTGCAATACTTAAAATTTCATATTATTTTAGTAAAATTATGTTTATTTTAAATTTGTTCTTTACTTCAGTTCTCAGAAAAAGAAATGAGAACTTAGTTTATATTTTAATTTATGAAAATAAAAATAAATAGTTAATTACACCAAATACAATTATTAAATATTAAATTTATAAAATAATTAAAATATAATTTTATTCTAAACAAACTAAACCAAGTCAAATATACGAATATTTGAGCTTAGTTTGTTTGAAAATTATCAAGTTTGAATAAAACCAAAAGCTTGAATATAACTTTAGTTTTGAACTTGGATTCAAATTATTAAACCCAAGTCCGATTTGAAAAAAAGATTTAAAAAAAATCAAAATAAAAAACAAACAAAATCAAACAGTTGCAACATTTAATAGATTTATGCAATAGCAAGAACAAATAAGAAGCCATAGCAAAGTAACCAAAGCTTGACATGAATCAGCATACCAGTGCATTCAGTAGGGGAGAAGAAACAATAAACTTTATTAAAATAACCAAAGCAAAAAGATATGTGCTCTAATTCTTACTATGTTTGCTCTTGAATCTATGTATATACTTTTAAATCTAATGTTAAACCAAATACAAAACAGGAATCATAAAATTTACATCTAAATCTGTCTCTTGCTCCAGCCAAAAAAGTCTTGTGCAGACCAGATAGTAGATGGCAGACTAAGACAAAAACCCAACCAACTTGTCATATATAATGCTAGCAATCATTTTGCAGGACTTATTGTCATATACATAATTGAAAGAACAAGAAAAAATATTCATTTATTTACAGGAGATCTAGAATCCCCATGTCTTTGTGCATTGTTCTGATTACAGTGGTAACCTGCTGTAATTGATCTTCACTAGAACACGCAGAGAGCAATACTTTGGCCGTTCCTCCATCCGGGTAACAACCAGCATCAATCATTTCTTCAAAGATCTCTAAGCACTTGTTGTATAGCTTCTTTCTGGAATAAGCACCAAGACGAGATGTCCATGTTACCACATCAGCTTTCAAATTTTTGGCGGCAAGGGAAGTGAATAACTCTTCCATTCTTTCCCAAAATCCTGCCCGCCCATACACATTGATCAAGATGTTGTATGTGCTTATGTCTGCTACATATGGGCCCTTTTCCATGGCAACCAAAACCTCCTCCATCTTGTCAAACTGGCCTAACCGCCCATACAGGTTCAGCATGCTATTAAGAACAAATGTATCTGGTTTTAACCCAGATTCGTTCATTTTCTTCACAATGTCTTCACATTTTGATACATTCCCAGTTTTTGAGTAGGCAGACAAAAGTAGCATGTGGGATTTCATTGTTGGAGCTATACCTAACCTCTTCATCTCTTCAAACACAGCTTCTGCCTCTGAAATGCATAGAAACAAAAACGCAACATCTATATCAAATTCAAAGCCAAACACCATACCTTAATATGTTATAGTTCATTGCATTTTTATGTATTAATCAGAACCAAACAAAATGAGTTCTCCAGCAGAAACAATTACCCTCATGAAGGCCAGCTCTACCATATGCATCTACCATTATATTATATGATGCTCTATCTGGTTCACACCCCATGTGCTGCATGAGTGAGAATATTTCTGATGCCCCAAAGGGATAACCTGCACGACTGTTAGAAATAGAGAGTTAATTGCCTGAATCCGATTATAAACCTTCCTCGTATAAATGCATGTGCGTATCAATCAGAAAACAAAAGAACCGGAAAGTTGATTAACCTGTAAGCCTCCATGAGTGCATTGTAAGTGTATACATCAGGCTCATGCCCAGCTTCTTGAAGCTGCTCAAAAATTTCTTCAGCTTTCTCACAAAGTCCTTCTCTAGCAAATGCATTCACTAGAGCAGTGTACGTACAGATATTTGGTTTACATTTTTGACTTCTCATTTCATTAAACAACTTTAAAGCCATGTAAGATTTACTAGCCTGCTTGGTACAAAATGTACACAATAATCAGAAAGAAAATAATTTTTATCAGCAGAAAATCACAAGGAAAAAGAAACTATGAAGTTAAATATGATTTCGCAGTATATAGAAGAGAATGATTGGACCTACTGATCACAGGATATTTTCGAGGGGAATTCCAGAAGATCCAACATGGAAATGAATCCAGAAATCAAGGATATATGATCGAGTATAAGTAAAATCTCCCCCCTCATTAACAATATTTAATTAATCATTGACACTCTATAGTCTTCTTATTTCCTCTTTGCTTCAATCATCTACAACTTGTTTCCAATTCAATTGGCTACAACTTGCTTCACCTCTTGGATAATATCCATTATCCGCCCAACAACTCCCCACTTCAATCAAAATATCTGTCACCTGCTTAAAGTTCTGATTATTACTGCTACCCTCTAAGAGTGAAACGTTACTATTCCTTAGACAGTCACCACTGAGTTTTAAATACTAAAATTTAATGTTAAGCTCCAAATAGCTGTAATGCTCAATACATTTTAATTTTCTAAGTTGCATAAAATGCCTAATTATCTTAAAAGCCAAAAAATTTGCATAAAAATATATATTAGGCATACAAGATTTCACCTTCCCATATAAGTTAATCATCAAAGTATAAGTCTCAGCTGTTGCTTCACAGTGATCTCTCTTCATCCTCTGGAAGATATTTACAGCATCTTCAGGGTTTCCTCCCTTCATTAGCCCATTAATGTAAGCATTATATACAGTTGCATCTGAAAAAAATATTAATTTAATGTTCTATATGGAAGCATAACAATTCAAGAGAATTTGTTGAAGGTACAAGTAAACATCAAGGATGTCATTGGGTAATGTCTGAATGCAAAACGCTCTGGCACCAATGAAGTTATGCATGAAATGAGGAGAACTACAAATGAGAAAAAAATAAGAGTATACAAAAGGTTTGTTGTTGTGCCAATGCATACACCAGACATCACAGTTGACCTATCCCAAAAATTTGAAGAAATATGCATATATATCCCCCTTTAGGACTGCCCTTGTAATGACCCCGAAAATCTAAAAGGAAATACATAATAATTCAAGTGCGAAAACGAAATAAAATATTAAAATTTACATTTCTTACACAATAAATTAAAAGTAATAAACAACATTACGAAATTAATTTTTTGAAAGAAATACGAGAAATAAGGAAACAAATGGAAAATTGAAAATATTTAGCATATACTCGCAATCTTCTTGCGGATTGCGCTCTGAAACCTAGTTCTTTTGATCTGAAATGGTTAATAAAGAATGAGTTACACTAACCCAGTAAAAATATCACACTATATTATCGGCATAGAAAGAAAGGTTGATATAAAATTGAAAACCACTAATTGAGCATTAAATTTAGTAAATTCATTTATCAATCATAAAATCATTTTTCGTTCACTTACCATAGTGGAATTTATAAAAACAACCTATAAAAATAATAATACCATATAGATCATAATTTTATGAACAATCATCAACATATAACATATTATAAATCTATATCCATTAACAATAAATCAAACTATAATTATTTTTCTTTTCACCAGCCTACTAGTATCGATGGGGGTTCATAGGGATGTCTTCGTTACACGTGAACCATTTTCTTTAACAATCTTAATTACATGGCGGTCCCCATACCCCGTCCAATATGAGGGTCAAATCATTAAACCTCAATACCCCGTCCGGTATAAGGGTGAAGCGGGCCGTCCCCATACCCTGTCCGGTATGAACGCCAAATTATTTAGTCTTCATACCCCATCAGGTATGAGACAACGTTCACGGTATGGTTCCCTATGTATCCGATCCGTCCACCATCTCCCAGGATATCTGATAAGGCTGCCGTTCCATCTGTTTATTTAATCACACCACTTTTTCGTTTTCCTCTAATCTCCATTTTCAAATCAAACATAATTACATAAGCAAATAAACATGTATCAAATAATGCAATCATGTCTCAAATTCCAAATCAAACAGTAGTCACGTAAGACAGCAATTCATGTATTTAAATCATAAAATAAATCGATAAGACACTATCATACTTTTAGACTATAAAATACATCAACAAAAATTAACAGAGAACAATTTGCGGTTCGGGCTCCATTAGCAATCAGTAATTAATTATGCATGTTTACTAAAATCGCACAAAATACCACATTATTTTTTATTTAAACTTCAATTCTATAATAGGGAATAAGGTGAGAGATCCTTACTTGATTTGACGCCGAAAAGGTATATGGTTTACTGCGCTTCCAGTCCCTAAGTTCCCTGAATTTTTCTCCGGGAACTGAAACGCACTTATAGTACCTACAAATATTCCAAATAAACCCAAAATCAGTCCCAAGGCCCATTCGGTCAATTTCGAAAATTCGACACGGTGGCTCCGCCGTGCTCAGATGACGGCGCCGCTGCCCACGGCGGCGGTCCCCTCACATTAGCTGTTTTCGGCCAAATTCAGCCGATTTTGCATCAATCCCTGCGAGAAAACATACTTACGGGTCTCGGTTGGCAAAAAAAACACAAAAACCCGAAAACTCACCGACGACGAGGCCCTCCGGTGCGGCAGCTCCTCCGGCTCAAGTTGCAGTTGGGTGTTTTGCTGCGGTCAACTTGTAGAGAAAAGAATGGTGATCACAATGGTGAAAAAATTACACCGAACAGGAATTGGAAAGGGTCTCATCGGAGGCGTTTTGTGAAATTCTCCACAGCGACGGCGGCGGCGGGCTTTGTCGGTATTTTTTGGCCAGTCCTTTCACTCCGATTTGACCATGGATGAGCTTAAAATTGAATTTTGTGCAAAATGAAAAATTTTTACCCTTTTAGCGGTCGGAAAGAGTTCCGGTGCGGCGGTGGGTGGCGACGATCTGCTCCCCGGTGGTTGAGTTGTCTTCTCCGGCAAGGGGTTCTGGCGGCTAGAATTAGGGTTGGGTGCGAATTGAGATTATTTATATCCATCCGCTTTTGTTTTGGGTCGTTCATCGCGTTTGATCTATACCGTCTGATCGCGATTAAATAGGGAGTGAATTTAGGCCATTCATCACGATCCAATCTAGGCCTCCATCGCGATTCACTCTGAACCGTCCAATCGCGTTTGAATCTGGCCGTTCGATTGCGTTTGGGAGGGAGCGCATCCAGGTCGTCCGTGCGCGCGAGAACGAACCTCAGCTGTTCGATCGCGGGCATGCAGATCGCCCACATAGCCCCCCCGCGTGGCCTCTCGCGTCAGTATCTTTGCCACTTGGCGCGTCCTGGTTGGTCAGAGCTGCTGACCCGACGTCTGACGTGGCGAAACTTTTCAAAATTGCATTTTAGCCACTGTTTTCTGATTTTTCTTTTAAAATACCCCAGAACCAAAATTTTCATCCATTTTTCCCAAAATTGTTTTCAATTTAATCTTCCATAAATTTTACTTAATTTTTTCATTAAATTAAAATTAAAAAAGTTACAAAAATTTTATTTACAATTTAATTCAATATTTGAATAAATTTGGGTGTTACAACTCTCCCATCCTTAAAGAAATTTGGTCTCTCAAATTTGTCTTTCCCTCTCAATCAAACAGTTGGGGATATTGGACTCTGAAGTCTGATTCTAACTCCCATGTAACCTCTCTCATTGTGTGATTCTGCCATATGACCTTTACAAAATAAATTTTCCGGTTGCGGAATAATCTACTATTTCAATCCACAATGCCGACCGGTACTTCCTCGTAGGATAAATCCTTTTGGAGTGGGAAAGACTCGTGGACCAAGATATGAGGGGGGTCCCGGGTTGTACTTGCGGACCATGGATACATGAAACACATTGTGGACCTTGAAAAGTTCTGGAGGCAGTGTTAGTCTATAAGCGGCGGTACTAATTCTATCTAAGATTTCAAATGGTCCAATAAATCGGGGGGTTCAGTTTCTCCCTCCTGCCGAACCTACTGATTCTCTTGAAATGAGTGATCTTAAGGAACACCCGATCGCCTTTCTCAAATTCCAAATCTCTTCTCCGGATGTTTACATAACTCTTCTGCTTGCTCTGAGCCGTCTGAATGTTTTTCCTAATCTTAACTATTTTGGATGTAGTCTCCTCTACCAGATATGGACTAAACAGTTTTCTATCACCTATTTTTTTCCAACAAATCGGTGATTTGCATGGGCACCCATATAATACCTCATACGGAGCCATGCAAATACTCGTTTGATAACTGTTGTTGTAGGTGAACTCTATTAGGAGTATATGGTCATCCCAATGGCCCCCAGAGTCAAGGTTATAAGTTCGAAGCATATCCTCAAGTGTACGGATTGTTCTCTCTGACTGTCCATCAATCTGAGGGTAGAATACAGTACTAAGAGACA